TGTAGAGATGAGATCTTACTGCCCAGGTGGGTCTTGAACCCGCGGGCTCAGGCAGTCCACTCACCTCAGCCTCCTAAAGGCACAGGATTACAGGCTGAGCCACCGAGCCCAGCTTTTGGTAGTGTTTTAAATCCTGGTTCTTAGTTCCATTCTGATGGGGACAGATGCTAGGAGGCCTGACAGGCCTCTGTGCCCTGGGTGACAGGGGCAGGTCAGTGATTTCCCTTCTCCTGGTAGTGGTGAAGGCGTGAGCTTTGGAGGCTGGGTCTAGGGCCTCCCTCTGCCTCTGAGCTTCAGGTTCCTCATCTACAAAATAAGGATTCATCCTGCATCCTAAGATCTTTCCCAGGTGCTATGAATATGTCAGTGAACAAGACAAAGTCCCTGAACACATGGGAAGTGCATTCCAGTGGGGAAACGAAGGTCAGATCAATAGATAGCTCTGTGACTAGTGCCGAAGGTACTGAAAACCTCATCTACCTGAGGGATTAAGACAGGCACCAGCCTGTAATCCCGTGCTTTGGGATGCTGAGGTGAGTGGATTGCCTGAGCCCGCAGGTTCGAGACTCACCTGGGCAACTTGGCAAGACCTCATCTCTACAATAAATCAAAAAAATAGCCTGGCATGGTAGCGCGCGCCTGTAGTTCCAGCTACTTGGAAGGCTGAGGCAGAAGGATCGCCGGAGCCCAGCAAGTTAAGGTTGTGGTGACCGGGAGCGTGCCACTGCCCTCCAGTCTGGGTGACAGAGTGAGACTCCAACTCAAAAAAATGAAAAGAAAGACACAGGCACCATTTTAGAAGTCATCTGTGAGATGAACTTGGAGAAGAGCATCAAGGCAAAAGAGACAGCAGGTGCAAGGCCCTTGAGATTCAAGGCCTTATGCCTGAAGGACAGCCAGGGACCCATGTGGCTGAAGCAGTGAGAGGTGGGAAGTGTATAAAGGGAGGCAGAGCAACAGCCAGAAGCCAGTGCATGTGATCCTGTAGGCCACAGTGAGGTGTTTGGTGTCTGCATTGGTTATGAAGAGAGATCTTGCAGTAAGAAGCCTCTGGAGGGTTTTGAGCAAGGCACGACAGGAGATAACTTAATGTTTTTGAAAACTTCCACCTGGCTGCTGTGTCTCTAGAGAATGGACCATCAGAGGCCAATGTGAGGAGGTCTTGGGAAGCAGGGATTCAGGAGTCCAGTGAAGGAGAGCAGCAGGATTTGCTGATTTGCTGTATGTGAGGTGTGTGTGAGAGGGGGGTCAGGAAAACCCCTGGGATTTTGACCTGAGCAACCAGAGGGTCTCAATCCCTTCACTTGAGATGGTGAAGGCTGTGGAGCAGACGTGGCCGCTGCACCACTTAACATTTGCACCAGTGTATGAGGGCTCTGACTGCTCCCCATCTAAGATGATTGTATGTTTTTTTCCCTTTTTTCTATTGATATGTTTTACATTACTTGATTTTCAGATGTTAAGCCAACCTTGCATTCCTGGGATAAATCTCACTTAGGTATATAATCCTTTTTATATGTTGCTGTATTCAGTTTGCTAGCATTTTATTGGGCATTTTTATATCTATAATTATAGGAGATACTGGTCTATAGTTTTCTTTTCTTATGATGTCATCAGGTTTTGGCTATCCTTATGTTTCAGTGTTAGAGATTGGAACAGGAGATACTGATCGGCCTCCCCTCCTGTGCTACCAAAATCTCTGAGCCCAAATTCAGACAATGCAGCAGAAGTACCAAGGGGAGGGACAGAGTCTCATCTGTGAAACGGGATAAGAAACCCAGCTGTCGGCCTGGAGGCAGTGGGCTAGCCTGCTGCCTTTTCAGTGCTTCTAGGATAGCGAGTACCCAAGGGAGCCACCATATGCTGGCCTTCAAAGGAGGAGAGACTGCAGGGTCAACCTCTGAGGTCCCTCCTGGCTCTAAAACTCTAGCTCTGAGGGATTGAATCATAACGGATTGAACAACTCACCCTCCCTGTTAGGTAACTGGTCCAATTTCATAGAGAAGAGAAGGGAGATCAGCATCCTCGGATAGAGGCCTGTCAGATTTGTGGCCAGACCTCATTAAATGACGAACACCTGGCCAACCAATGGTAAGGATAGGGCAGAGAATGCCCTGGGAGAGCCTGCCCCTCTCTTTGGCCCCAAAGGAAGGCAGATCCTGTGGTAAGGCCTGGAAAACAGCACAGGAGCAGAACAGGGCACGAGATGGGCAGCAGCTCAGCACAGTGGGAGGCTCTATAAATGCTAGCTGTGGACATGCAGCCTTCCCCACCCTGCCAGAGAAGGGGGCGGCAGCTGGCAGTGTGGGAAGGGCAGGGCTCTGGCAAATCCTTTGCTTCTAGTGTCTTGTTAAATAGCTGACAGAGCCCTGTGTGACCTTGAGAAGGTTACTTCCTTCCTGCCTTCAGAGTACAGGACAGGTACATGCGCTGGGCAGGTTGCAGAGTTGGGTTCCCTCTGCAGACTCACCATCCCTTCTGGGGTGGTCAGTGCTATTTTTGTGCCTGTAGCTCACTACAGGGGCCAAGGTTCCTGTGAGAAAGCCCACGAGGCAGGCCAGGAGGGAAGCGAGTGGGCTGCCACCATGCATTGCCACCTAGACATCCTCGGCTGATGGCTCCCTGCTCACAGCCTCCCTCCAGCCCCCTCCTGATCATCGAGCTAGGGAGGCAGCAGAAGTCGGCATCTGTTAGGTAACCAGCTCAGCTGCCATGCAGGGTATGATGTAATCTTGGATTCTGTGGTTGCTAGGAAAATTCTGCCTGCAGTGATATTGCGTGGTCCTAGGACTGAGGCGAGAACAGAATGTTCCCAAGAAGACGAGAAGGATTAGTAGGGCTCCCCATCCCAAGAAGCCAGATGACTTGCACCCCTTTCTAGAAGCATATTTCTCTTTTTAGGATTAGAGACTGTGCTAGGAAGGACAGAACCCCGTGAAGGCAGGGTCAGGGGCAGGGTGACAAGTTAGTTCCCTTTGTAGCACCTTGGTGCTCGAGTGCGAAGGTGAAGACACATGTCTTGTTTGTTGCACCCTTGTCATTGGGCCCTGTATCTACAGCCCTCCCCACAGCTGAGTGCCTCCTCTCTCTCAACAGAGTAATTAGGAAGGAGGTCATCACGTGCCTGCTGAGGGGGAGACCACTTGAGGTGTGGCTGAAACTGGCCAACACTATGCCGGGAACCCCACTGCACACTCCCCATACCAGCTCTCCCTTGGGTGGCCTTTCCTGTCTCTGCTGCTCTGGACCGCCCCCTCCTGGGGAGAATTCCTGCAGTAGCACAGACGTCAAGATGTCAGAAATGCCATGGGCAGCCTGACTGTTATTGTTCTGGGCACAGTGAAGAACCGCCCTTGAGAGAGGCCGGGTGCCATGACTCAGCCTGTCTTCCCAGCACTTTGGGAGGCTGAGGCAAAAGGATTGCCTGAGCCCAGGGCTTCAAGACCAGCCTGGGCAACTTGGTGAGACCTCATCTCTAAAATAAATCACACAAACTAGCCGGGCGTGGTGATGTGCATCTGTAGATCCAGCTTCTTGGAAGGCTGAGGTGGAAGGATCGCCTAAGCCCAGCCTATCGAGGTGGCAGTGGCAGTGAGTGTGCCACTGCACTCCAGCCTGGGTGACAAGAGTGAAACTCCAACTCAAAAAAAGGGAGGTGGGGATAGCAGTAGGACCCAGGGACAGCGAGTCAGAATGGGACCTTGAAGGCCACTCCCTTGGCCCGCAGGGGTCTGCTGACCATAGACAGCTCCTTTCTCCCCAAGCAGCTTTGGGTGGGGGAGGCAGGTCAGCATTTCCAGCTCTTTTCCTCCTCCCTCCTGCCTTTTCTGGCTGCATGTCAGAGCCTGTCTTCTGGGAAACAAGACAAAGGAAGTGATTTCATGAATGCCTGGACTAGAATCTCAAATTCAGGATTAAGAAAAATAATAAGAATTGTGGGCATTATCTGTCTCCTTCAGAGATCATGCAGAAAGCAGGCTACAGGTGGGCATGGCCTTGCAGGTATTGGGTTTGGGCAAAGGATGATAGTTGCAAAGAGGTGGGCATGGCCATGCAGGTATTGGGTTTGGGCAAAGGAAATCGTTGCATTGAAATGAGCCGGGCACGGTGGCTCACTCCTGTAATCCCAGCACTTTGGAAGGCAGAGGCAAGAGGATTGCCTGAGCCCAGGGGTTTGAGACCAGCCTGGGCAACTTGGCAAGACCTCGTCTCTACAATAAATAAAGAAAAATTACGACTGGACACGGTGGCTCACGCCTGTAATCTCAGCACTTTGGGAGTCCGAGGTGAGAGGATTACCTGAGCCTATGGGTTCGAGATCAACCTGGGCAACTTGGAAGCTGAGGCGGAAGGACTGCCTAAGCCCAGCAGATCAAGGCTGCGGTGGCTGTGAGCATGCCACAGCCTGGGTGACAAAAGTGAAACTCCAACTCAAAAAAAAAAAAAATAGCCGGGCATGGTAGTGCATACCTGTAGTTCCAGCTACTTGGGAGGCTGAGGCAGAAGGATTGCTTGAGCCCAGAAGGTCAAGGCTGTAGTGAGCTGTGATCGTGCTACTGCACTCCAGCCCAGACAGCAGAGTGAGACTCCAACTCTAAAAAAAAAAAGAAAGAAAGAAGCAAGATCCTCCGAAGGGATCAAGATGTCAGTTTTGAGAAGAGAGAGAGAGAGCTTCCTTCCCAAGGGCTCCCCGGTTTTGGTGACCTTGGAACAGGGGATATGAGCACAGCCTAGCCCTACTCCAATTCACCTGGTCCTTGTCCTCAGCTGTGTAGCCTCGAGCAAGCCTCTGCACCTCACCCCAGCAGCCCTGCCACCCCGCAGTGGGGTTGCTGGCCATATCCCCCAGCTAGACCATAGGGGCCACCAGAGGAAAGGGGCCTTCCTCAGAAGCACTGTGGGGACAGATGCTCCAACTGGGGCCCACAGCCTCCGTGCTTGTCCCACTTGCAGGCCAACACTGGAAGCCCCATCAGTGATTCTTGTCCCCTGGTCTGCAGGTGCAGAGGATGTGGTGATGGCGTTTTCCAGGTCGGAGACGGAGGACCGGAGGCAGTAGCTGCAAACCCCTTGGAACACCTTGGAAGCTGTCAAGGGCCAAGAGATCGGTGTGGCTCCTCGGCTGGCTGAGTGGCAGCAGAGCACCTCGCCCTACCTTCCCCTGCTCCCATCCCCTGCCCCACCCCGCCCCGCCCCACAGCCACTCAGGGGGCCAGCATCAAGGGGACACCAGCGATGCATTTATGATTGGCTTAAAGGGATGGACTCATGATTGGATGCAGGAAGAAACCTTTTTATTTTTAAATCTTGACCAACAGAAACCTTTTATTTTTATTTCTGACTCTTATTTTTTTTTAAAACTTGCGCCTCGGTATCTGGCTTCCTAGGAAGCTCTCCGGGCTCTGGTGCTTTAGTTAGGTCAGTTTTTAGAAATGTGAAGAGGTCCGACTGGCTGCTTAAACTGGAAAGGGATTACGATTGGCTGGTTAATGGGAAAGGGTTTTTTTTTTTTCTTTGATGGGCTGCAGGTGTTCTGCTGATATCAGCAACTTCTCTATTTTGAATGCAGAAAACAGGGTCTGGGACATTAGTTGTTATATTTGACTTGAAAAAAAGAAAGAAAGAAACCAAGTGCGCTTTGCAATATTTATTACACAAAGAGCTTGCTGCTGCCTTCACATTTTTTTTGGTTTGTGTTTGAATTTGATTGGCTTTCAATGCGCGAGTTTGGTTCCCTTTGGCTCACTCATGACACCTGTTGCCATGGTTTCACACCCCCCCCCCCGCTTCTTGCTCTGGGCCTGGAGGTCCACCTGGAGAGTGCATTTACTTTAATGACCACACCTGCCTCCACCAGCTAGGGGACCCCAAGGACCCCGAGCAAGGTCTACAGCTAGAAAACAGGGCCCCCGAGGAGCTTTGTGTTGTCCTGAATGGATGGCCCAGAGCTTAGAGGTAACCATTAAGCAGTGTTTGTTGCATCACTTCTGTGAGTTGACCACCAGCCAGCTTCCCTGGGTGAGAGTAGGATTGTTCAAACACTGTCCAGGCCCTCCTGGCTGGGCTGTGCCCAGCAGAGGCACACTAGTCTGGGCAGCTCTGTCCTCTTGGCCATCCCTCCTCCCAGATCCTCATCTTGAGACTCCTTCTAGAAAAGGAAGAGTTGCTCCAAGCTGTGAGATGCCAAATGACCCTGGAGTTCATCTAGTGGGGATCCACATAAAAGCTGCAGCTCAGTTTACAAGGCCCAGGAGACCTTTGGCTCCGAACACCCAAGCTCTGCCCTACCCCAGCCAGGCTCCTATGTTATCTAACACTCGGGCACCAGAGTTCTCTCATGCCAGGCACGTGCCCCCTGCGTTGCTTCCAGAAGGGTCTCTCTCCATGACAGCCTGGAAGGGACACCGTCATTGTTGGTTCAGGAAATTCCCACCACGATGACTAGCTGGGCCTCCATGAGCCAGTCCCATCAGGTGGCCCTTAGACTGCCAGAGTCACAGAGCAGTGGTCCTGGGTGGGGGGAGGGGAGGTCTGGTGTCCCCGTTGGCGCTGAGATCTCCCACTTGCCGCCTTCTCCCCTCAGGTGGCCCTCCCATCTCCCTGCAGCACTCAGGAGTGGAACTGGAGGCCAGGTGTGGAGAAGGATGCAGGCCTCAGGAAGGGCCCCGCCCTCCCCCTAAGCCAGAGGCCTGAGGCTCTTTTCTCGCCCTGGATACCCAGAGCCAGGAGGACACTCTGGAGCCGAATCCTCCCTTTCTCAGGGCTCAGGGCTGTGGGGCTCAGAGGCTCCCGAGGGTCATGAAGCCTACAGAAGCCAAACCTGAGCCTAGAGGGCCCCATCTGGGTGGGTAGTCCACCCTGTGCTCTGTGTCACCACCAGCCTTGTTCCAGAAGGATTCGAGTGCGACAGCTGAGACCCTGTGTCCACCACACACTGGCCTCTGGCTTTGGTTAGCTGACAGTCAACCTGCCAAGGCCATTGATCCCCAGGGGACAAGGCCAGTGGGTCATACAGCTACAGCCCAACCCCAGCAGGGGCCTACAAGAGACCATGTGTGTGTGAGCGTGCACACACACTCGCACATGCATACATACACTCCCAGCTCAATGTCATGGGCTCTGACTGAGTCCCGGGGAAGGTGAGTCTCTCCCACCCCAGGACAGAGTGCCTGGAAGCAGGTATTGTGGCACGAGCTGCTGGCTGTGTCCTCTCTTTGTACCTGTGGCTCCCATCAAGGGCCGGCACCCTTCTCATCTCTGGTCCAGTGTGTGGTCTCTGCCCAGCTAGTCCTTGTCACGATCACAGACCTCACTCTGATAACAGTGATGACCCCAGCCTGTCTCATCTTCAGAAGAAGAAAAGTCAGAGTGTTGCTGTGGCTTCGTATTGCAACTAAAAATATATCTGTTGGAGAAAGAAATTAACAATAAAGATTTTTCATAGGTTGGCGTGTGAGCTGAGCTGGCTTCTCCCTCACACTTGGGTGCTCTAACTTTGACCCCGCATCGCCTAGGTTCTGCTGCTGGGGGGCCCTTCCTCCCCAGAAGGCAGAGCAACAAGGAGCAACACAGTCTGACAAGCGCCTGGCACCTGGGTTGGAGCTCAGGGTGTGGAAAAATTCAGTCTACCCAGGCCAGCTCAGGGTTTCTTGGGAAGGCCGAGCCCCCTCTTTGACCTGGGGGTTCTGAATATCATCCCGGATCTGACTAAGGTTAGTAATTTTCAGGGCAACCTCATTCCTCCATGCCTGTGAGCAGACACTAAGCACTCCGTGAGGGCATGAAGACACCACCATCCTAGACACCCCAGCATCCTTATGCAATGACACTGGTCTTAGAATACTTACTCCAGGCGTCCAGAGTATCTGTCGCTTCCATTATCCCAGAAGCAGAAGACGTATTGGTATTCAGCTAAATGTTCCAGTTTGGAAGCTGAAATCATTTCTCCTTCAGGAATTTTTGCTTTGGAAGCATTTTCTAGAAATTTTCATTCCCACCCTTCATAGTCCCATTTTAGGCCATCGTCTTTTTTGTTTTTTTCTGTTTACATAGGCTTGCTGCTTCTATTTCCTTTTTAAAGAGTTTCACTGGGTCCTAGAGGCTATGGAGTTTACAGAATACTGGCATGGTGGCCCAACCAACATCATTCAGTCTTGGTGGTGGAGGAGACATTAGATTGTTCAGCAGCCCATGCTGCGGCCAGATGCAGGAGTTCCCTCTGAGATATCTCTGAAAAGAGCCCGCCCGACCTTTGCCTGAATGCCCTAGTGCTGGAGAACTCACCTCCTCACGAGCTACTCCATTCTATCTGTGGGTAACCTATATTCACCTGTGTTGGGTTGGCCTGCCTTTCTCTGTAATTTCTTGTCCAGAAAGTTCATAGTCAGTGAGAGAAAGACAAAGGTAGCTGTGTTAGCAAAAGTTACATGCAGACACATATTCAAGAGCCCATGTTAGGTAAATTACGTGTAGAACCCAGCCCCTGCCCAGTGTTCTAAGTGACACTATCGACTTTGCTGTTCATCAGCCCTTCTAAGCTGGGCCGCTGAGCAGAGGGAGGGACTGGCTGGCCTTGGTCCCACCTGCCCAGCCCCCAGCGGAGATCTTGGAACTGGAGCTGAGAGGGAGTTGTCCCAGAGCTGCCTAACCTGTCTAAGCTGTCTAAGCTGCACTGGGAAGTAGGCCACGTGAAGTTAAAAGAGTCTGGGACACTTCAGCAGGCGAAGGGAAAGCACTGGGGGCAGACTTGGGTTTTTTGGGGTCTCGGCCAAAACAGCAGTCCACCTTCCTAAGTACAGGTGCGTGCCTCCTAGGTAGGCTGGTAACAGCCCCAGGGGGCAGGATTGGGACAGCTGGGGACCAGGCTGAGCCTGGGCCAGAGGGGAGGACGATGGTGGGTGGGGGAGGAGCTGGGACTGGCTGGGAGGGAGGGTGCCTTGCCTTTTGTTGGTGTTTCCCAGGCTAGGGGAGGGTGATTGGGGATGAATGAAGCACTTCTTCAGCCAGTCTCCCCAGGTGACTAGCAGCTGTGAGAATCCAGGCTGTCCCCAGCCTTTGAACAGGGCCTTTTGTAGCCAGGAACACGATCGCCTCCATGGAACCTGTGCCAGGTGGGGGTGGGGGGTGGGGAATGGCTTCCTGATAGAGAAGCTCTGTGGACCCCAGGGGACCCCCCATACCACCCACCAGCCTCCCTGTGTGGGCAGGCCCTCTCCAGTTGCACATGGCCACCCGCCCCTTTCCCAGAGGAAGGAATCGACCCAGACACCCGAGGTCACGTGTAGAAAATATTCACCCCTCTGCACGGTCCACTGAAGGAACTTGCTCTTGTGGGAGACAGCTGGGGGTTCAGGACATTTGGGGGAGCTGCAGGAGGTGGGTCATGGGATGGTCCAAATTGGAAGAAACCCTTTTCAGAGGACAAGGACGGGGAAATGCCTTTTGAGTATCAGCTGGGGTGTTTCCTTCACTTTTTCCCTCGCCATGGGGACGTCGCCCTTCACAGATGGCTCCCAGAGGGGCCAGTCCCACTGGGCAGGGAAGTCAGGAGAGCTCTTGATGCCCCCTGCCCACCCTGCCTTGTCTGGGCCTCTTCCTGAGTCCCCAGAGAAGAGCATGTTCAACAGGTGGCCATCCCTGTTGGCACACCTGTGGGAGCCCGTCCTTCCCTGTGCAGCCCAAGGTGACTGTCTGAGACCCAGAGCCTCTGACAGTGTCTGCTTCCTGGCCCTTGGCCTTGACCGTACTGCTTCCACTGGAAGGAGGTAAATTTTCACAAACATCTTTTATCCAGGTGTCTCCTGTGTCCTAATTTTACAACAGCTTGTGTTGATCAGACGCTACCTGTGCGCCAGTGCATAGCACTTTCCGTAGACCATGCTCAGTCACATGTGAAGTAAGCTCCTAGCAACCCTCTGAGTGTCCTTCCTGACTCCCCCTCCTCACCTTTGATGCCACTCTGGAGGCTGCCGTGAGGACCTGGCAGTTCACCTCCAAGCTAAGCCGGTTTTTCTAGAAATTCCTCTTCTACTTTAAACCTTCCAGATTATACTGTTTGCTTCCACAGCATAAATCCTTATGTCCACATAGCCGGGGGCTGAAGACGTCATGGTTTAGAGTGAGAACTCCGGAGGCCGACTGGAGGCAGAACTGAAGCCTGGATCTGCCACTAGGCAGCTGTGTGTCTTGGGGTGAATGGTCTAACTTAGTTTAAAAACTGGGCAAAATAGCAGCATCCGTCCCATGAGGCTGTTGGTGAGAATTAATGAGGTGGTGCATATGACAAGCGCAGCACAGTGACCTGTGAACAGTGGGTGGTCAGGACATATGCTCATCATTAAGTCACCATGGTGGGTGTCCCTCCTCCATCTTCTCTGCTCAAAAGTCACTCCCAGCAAGGACTTGTCTACAGCTCTTAGTGTGGGGGAAGGGCAGCCCCCAAGTACAACTAGGTGTTGTCAAATGCTTTTTTTTTTTTTTTAAGAGATGGGATCTTGTTCTGTTGCCCAGGCTGGAGTGCAGTGGCACCATCATGGCTCACTGCAGCCTCAATCTCCTGGGCTCAAGTGATCCTCCTGCCTTAGCTTCCTGAGTAGCTGGCACTATAGGCACAGGACATCACACCCAGCTGTGCTGGGATAAATGTTTTTTCGGCGAGGATGAAGGGGCCAAGATAACC